ATGTGACTTTTTCACTTGAGTGTAGATCTTACTACCCAGCAAAGAATAAAAACATTGGGTTTTTTTCTAGTATCTTTGCAAATGAAAGGACATCTATTAATTAAGTGATACTTGTACTGCTAATACCACTTAATAATACTTAAGAAATTAGCAAGTCCCCTTTAATTTTTCAAAATTGCAAGATGGCCTCAGGCTCAATCCAAGCTTAATTAAGTACACTAACATAACTTCACTTATTAATAACTATTACGGCGTACTATGTAATATTTTATTTAATTACTTCTTATTATTTTACTTTTCATAAATAAATTATTTTATTCAAATATCATTTTGTTATTTATTATTTAATTACTTCTTGTTACTTGACTTTTATAGATAATTAATATTATAGTATATTCCAAAAATGGTCTTATATAATACTCTTTCATTTTATAAAGCACTTCCTCTTTCATTTTTTATTGTTTTAAAACACTTCTATTTTTGTAAAAAATGACCATATATCTAAATTAAGTCGTTACAATATACTCCTTTCAATTTGCATTGATATAATAAGTATTTTAAATGATTTGTCTCTCTTCTTTGTTTTAAGATAATGATATAATTTATTAAAAGGTCAAACTACGAAAATAAATCTCTCCCAAATCAAAACGTAAATGGTTTCACCCCAACTCGCGTAACCTGAACCAACGAGTGAGCGAACCGGGTTGCTACTAAATTGGTAACCAAACACAACTTAATTTTCAAAACAAATAAAGCAAATACTTTAAAACATAATTTAACATCTAGGGGAGTAAGAATCAAAACGTATGTGGAAGCTTAAGTCATTATTCAAAACACAACTTAGGAATCATGCCCGTAAAAGTAACAAGTTTTTAAATGATAAACACTAATTCAAAACCATCAAGGACAGCCACGCACATCTCATATTCATTGCCCTGCGGGATTGGCTCCAAATTTCTCATTCCCTTGATTACCTACGTGCAGCAAAAGAACAAACACTACACTCTCAACATTGAAGCTATGTGAGAAATATCATCACACGATATCATGCACATAAAGATACATCCTAACGTCATAACAGTTCATAAGATATAAACAAACAATGATACAAAAGCTAAGTACCTTCTTATTGATTTAATTTACTTTCTTTCTTAGACTTGGCTCTTAATCTATGCTATGTTAAAGCTTAACCGATCTAAACTTGCCTATGGGAGTCATGACATTCCTTTTCGAAACCAAGGTCAAGCTCAAAACCCGACAGTTCATAGATCCTCGTGCGTATATTTTTTACCTAAACTATCATTGAACCGATCAGGTACCACATGACTCTAACTTACTTTACTTATGGCATACCTTGCCACTAATCCATTCAGGTCAGTCTCTAGAGTTCATTTAGGTGATATGTCCATCATTCCTTAACAATTCATAATCCAACATACACAATTTCATAATACATTTATCAACATATCCAAAATCATCAAATAGCGGCCTAACACTGGGTGTAAACACCCATGATTATCGTCATGCAACACACAAGCCTCAGGATCAATACTTGATGAAACATAGATCATCAGTCTCTGTTCAGGTACCTAAAGTACCCTCGACGGTAGGGGGTACCGACCCCACGGTACCTGGGTACCGCCCTACAGTACAAGGGTACCGTTCGAAACAGCCACTGTACTCATCCGGTAGACCTGTCATAGACCTGTCATAGTAGCCATTACCGACTCGGCGGTAGGGCCTACTGTTTGTCAGGTACATGGGTACCGATCGGTCACAGGTACCAGTAGAGAATGGAATATCCAGAGTGCTGGTGGTAGCACGGTACCATCCCTGCGGTACTGCCCTACCTTCAGATGCGATAAATTCAGAATTCACAATCATAGACATCAATAGATTCATATTAACATTCCAAACATTATCTAACAAACTTATAACCTTACCTTTTACGATTCAAGCTCTTCAATTCACAAACAACACAAACAACATAATAATCACAAAAGGTTTCACCTAACTCAACCGTAGCAATTCTACAAACGTAAGATTCAAACTTACAAATATTACTATCGATTAAGATGATTACGAATTACCGAGACAGTATTACGAACGAGGAACCGAACGACAAATTACTCATTCTTCTCCCTTTTCCCTTCTTCTTCTTCTTCTTCTTCTTCTTTTTTCTTCTTTCGTCTCCCTGGTTTGCTTTTATTCCTCTTCACTGTTGTCCCGTTCTGAGGCTTTTGAAAAAAAAAGAAAATATTTAAATGTAAGTCTATGAAAATGTGACAATGTCCACATTTTACATTTAGATCTTGAGATAATGTAAGTATCACTCAATTTTCTAACATATTTATTTATACAGAGTATAAGTTATGTTTTTAAATAACAATTAATATTATGGTAATGCATACTCCGTATAATAAAATTAAAATTTTTATTTCTAGATATCATACGAGTGATAGTTACATGCATACTCCCTCTGTCCCTAAGTAATTGTCACACTTTCCCTTTTCATCCGTCCCAAAAAAATCACCACATTTCCACCGCAGACTCTTCATCTTCTCCACCCTCTAATCTCATCTTCTTCTTTGCCAATCTTCGATTTATCCACCATCTCAAATTCTTCTCCGCCACAATCTTCATCTTCTCCACTCCTAATCTATGGGTAATCGAGATCGCTGATATCCTAGTTTTAATCTGTTGACTGAGGAATCACCCTCGCGAGGTAGATCCCCCTAAAGTGGTGGATCTAGACGAAGATTGAAGTGTCGCTATCCTACTCATTCGACCTCTACTTCTGATACAGACCCAACTTGGAAGTATCGTATATATGAAGTACGGGGATATGGCGATGTTTGATGAATCATATCTGGAATTTGAGGGCGAAGAAGGGGAATCGGAAGTGGTGACATCTGAATATGATCCTAGACAATTGGACTGCATAGATTACGGTTTGATGATGAACCCTCCACCAAAAATGGCTACCTTTAATGTATGATGTGTAGCCCGCCAGTCCATCACCACCAGTGACCATGTATGGACTGGGATACGAATATATCTGATATCCGACCAATATCCGACGGATGCGGATACGGTTTTGATTTTCAGTATCCGTCATGATTCGTATCTGAATTGGATATCCGACAAAAACAAACGGATACGGATTTGGTAATGGCTCATCCGATCCTATTAAAAATTTAATTCTTTAAGATAATTATTACCATATTTAATTACGAGTATAATACTATAACTTTGTTATACAGAGTATGTATTACTCCCTCTGCTCGAAAATGTTTTTCCCACTTTTCTTTTTGGTCCCCTTGGAATTATTTTTTCAATTTCCTTTTTAGTATACTTTTTAAGAATACATTTCAATAATACCCTTCTGTTTCATCACTAATCTACTTTTCATTGTTTTTATAAGAAAAAGAGATTTAAAAGCTTATAGTATGAGCATTTTTTGAAATGTGGTACTTTTTTACTACTCCTTAATAAGTGTGTGAGGTCAACACAAAAGAACATTCTCGAACAAAGAGAGTACTATAATATTAATTATTGTTTTAAAAAATAGTCTCTCCATCTCTAAATGGGTGTCATTGTTACTATTACAGTAACTTGATAATTATTGTTTGTTCATTTTATTTGACTATTTAATAAAATAATATACATTTGTCATCTATTGCTAAGTACTCGTCCTGTCCTAAATTAAATTGTCTATTTACTATTCACAAAGTCAAATTTTATTCATCTTCTTTACATATTCTCGTTAATCATTTGAAAAAAATAATATAATAATGTCACTACTTGTTTGGTACATCCTTTGATGTAGTTTTTAAATATGTAATTTGTATTTTTAATTCTATACAACTTTTCATTTAAAATGATTTGAAAATAACTTCAGTGAAAATCATAAATCGAAACAGACAATTTAAATTAGGACAGAAGGAGTAAAACTTTGGATGTATTTTTAAACAATGTAATTCATACTTGTTATTTCTATACCAATATATAATCAAAATGAATTAACAAATGATGAGATATTTTAAACAATATTTAGAGTGTGATAACCTCCATAATGGGACAAATGGAGTAATTTAGAGTACTAGTATAATTTAATTTGTTAGAAAATTAGGCCTTGTGTGTGTCTAAGCCCACTATATATGCAAGCCCAAATAATAGATCAGAGCATCTCCAACCATATTTGTCATATTAGCTTTCTATTGTTGTATTTTAACAAGTGAATAGTAATATAGAAAATTATTTTTTGTCCTATTCTCCAATCATAACTTGTTATATTTTAAGTTTAAGAGGACAAAGATTGAAGGAGGAACGTAGATGTTCTATGGTGCAAACTTCAACGGAGATGCTTAATTTCAAAGTGGAGGATGGGCTTGCTATAATTTGATTGGCTTGGTATATTTAGCAAGCCAAACTTAATTTTTGACAAGCATGTTAAAAAATAGCACACTCTTGGAGAAAAGAAAAAGGGGGTGGTTTGCTATATTATAACTTTTAGCAAGTCAAAATGACATGATTAGAGATGCTCTCAGAGATGTAAGTAAATAACATGGGGGGGTTAATGAAGCAGCAGCCTGTGGATCTGGATCAGAGATGTTAATCTTCTTCTTATTTTCTTCTTTTCCTTCATCTTATCTCAGTCTTTCCCGTTCCCCCCTTTGAGACGCATTTCACAGGTTTTTCCCCTAGCATATAACATATTACCCCGTCTCACTCTCTTTGTTCACTTTTGACTTTTGGAACTGTTCATCGTAGCACTTTGACTCATCAAATTCTCTAAATGTATAAACCTAAATATAGTCACGTGTGATCTTGTTTGATTTGTCTTAACATATAGATTATTAATATATAATTTCTATAATTTTTTAATATACAAATTACAAGATAAAATGGATTAAAGAAGTGCATTAGATGGTGTGCCAAAAGGTAGGTGGACAAAGAGAGTGGGACTGAAGGATTATTATTATTTTTTCTAAGCCTCAGCCGGCGTTCAGGAGACGTTTGGAGCAGTATCCGATGCATTTGGCGTCTCCGAGGTATCCCAAATGCGTGCGGCAACTAGTTTGTCCTTTTTGTGCAACATAGATCCAAACCTTGTGCTTGTTCCTTTCATTTGTTGTATTTAAATGCTTGCTTGTTCTTTTAGTTTATTGTATGTTCAATTTTGTTCTGACATTTCTTTCTTCGTTTTCTATTTTTTCTATATTTTTTTTTTGCTTTCAAGGTTTGTTGGTGTGTTGAGTAAGAGATCTTTTTCTAAGTAGCCTCTTTAATCTCCAAATCGGGTAAGGGTTGCGTTCACTCATCATTCTATTAGACCTCACCAGGTATAACTTGTTGCCTGATCTCTATGCTTTAATTTTTTTTGTTCATTTTCTTCCCAACCTTTTTACTATAAATTTAAATACTATATTTTTCCAGAAAAAAATTATTTATTCAAATTTTATAAAGTTTAAGAAACATGATGAAATGTAAATACTGGAATTCTTATAGTTTATTTAGAGAGAGAAATGTAATGGGCCACCCATTCTTTTGTTTAAAAGGGAATGGACAAATTTTGAAGTTTTGTGTTACAAACAAAAAAGAAAAGAGTTCACTTTTTGGCGTTACGAAAGGAGTTTATGGTTTTATTTTTAAATCTTAGCTTTTTATAGTCAAATGAGAAATGTAGTAACACTTAATCAGTAGAGCAATCCTGAACTTAGAGAAAGAATTGCATATCAACGTGATCTCTCACTTATTGGAACCACAAATGTCTCGTAGCAGCTCATTTTTCCTTACCATTGTGAAGGTTTGTTAATGCCTCTCCACCTCATCCATTTCATAAATTGATAGAATATAATTGTGATTTGAATAAACAAAACTATATTGGGTTGTGTAAAAAGATAATTTTAAAAAATTGCTTAAACAGATGAGCACAAAAATACTCCATTTGCCCTATAAAACTTTCTTACTAGTTACTATTCACATGCTCAAACTTTAATCATGTTTTTATCTATTTTTGTTAGTTATTTGATAAAATAATGGTGCACGCCAGCTCTTTTTTTGCACAAAAACACAAGCTTTATTACCAAGTCAAAAGTTTGGGTACAACCGGCACACAGACATCAGAGATCAGACCAACTACAAATATTTAAGGCAAGGTTTTCATATAGTAAAGATAACTTCTAATATATTGGATGGCTTGGACCTGGACTTCTTCTATTGTCTACCTTCTTTGGTGCCTAATCTCATTTCTCCATTTCCATATGAAGTATACATACGTACCCCAAATGGCCAGCATAATTCTTTTATCCTTCCCACCCTTGAATCTTTGAATTTCTGCCCCAATTCCAGTACCAAGTCTGAGCTTCATATTGAACATTTCCATGATGTTTTGGAACACTGGTTTCACACTTTCGCATTCCAAGAATAGGTGATCCTAGGTTTCAGTTGCATTACCACACAATTCACACTCTGCACTTATATCCAGGAATCTAGCAATCCTCTCTTTCGTCTGTATCTTCCTTTTCCAGAAAAGCCATCCTATAAACCTGAATTTAGGAGGTGTCAAACTATTCCATACCCAATGTCTCCATTCAGGTTTATCCTTATCCCCTTGTAGCCATTTATAACCTGCCTTAATGATATACGGTTGCTGGTTTGGCATGGTATTGAATTTGTCCCTCACCCTTATCATTTCTCTCCAGTAATAGCATGCATCATGTTTAGGTTTGTAGTTCCAGAAATCTCCACCTTTAATGTATCTAGTGTGGATCCACTTGACCCACATTATGTCTTTCTTTTCAGCCACATCCCAATTGAGCTTCATCATAATTGCAGCTGTGTTCCAGTTTAGAATATTTCTGATCCCCAAACCTCCATACTTTTTTTGTTGGCAGATTTCATCCCACTGGACCAGTGGTGTCCTATGGTATGCAGCTGTGCCTCCCCATAAAAAAAAGTTCCTACATATAGCCATAATCTTTTTCATAATCCCTTTAGAGATAATGAAAATCCTGGTCCAAAAGGTAGTTACTGCCATCAAAACTGAATTAATAAGTCTAACTCTAGCCATGTATGAGAAATGTCTGGATCCTCAAGCAGTTATTCTAGCAGTGAGCTTGTTGATCAATACATCACACTCATGAGCTCTAAGCCTGGCAGTGAGCTTGTTGATCAATGCGTCACACTCAGTGAGTGTTGGATTGACAGAATAATTTGGAAGATATAGCGGTAAGCCTTGGATTAAGACTCAAAATCTATGGAATGGCAAATTTGTGATTCGGGTTAGGATGTTTAAAAAGAGCAAGTTCTGGTATTTTTTACGGAGTACTTGAATACTTTACATAAATAAGGGAAAACTGTGACTAGATATAGACTTAGAAATGCATGGGTTTTTGGAGTGTGAAGGCTGCAAAACTGATCAAATTTGTATAGACTTGGCCCAGGGACTTGAGCGGTTCTAGAAGTTATGGTATTGGGATAAATGTTATGAGGTCACTTGAATGAAAAAGATTCTAAAGAAAGGCAAAGACGTAAAAACTTTTCTGATAACATTATTTGGGGTTAATCTAACAACTCATAGGCAAGTAATAAGCATTGTTTAGATAATCTTTTGTAGCAAATGCTCAGAAATAAATGGAATGTCAGTAAAGCTATTCAACGATTCTAAAAGAGAGAACACCATAGTTACAAATTGAATTATTTGGTAATAGGGCAAACTCTATGAGTTTATAAGTCATAAGTAGTACAAAGTATATACACCATCATCATTGTTAATTTATAAATATATACTATATCTCTGTCTTGTCCAGTTTTGACTTTTTTCAGTCAAAATTGGCAAAACTTGATTACAAATTGAATAAAAGTGTATTAGTTATGCATATAAGAATAGTTTTATTAGATTTGTTTTGTAATATATGTTCCCAATTTACTAACACTTCAACTCTCAAATGATTTGACATTATTTTTATTTTTCCATTACATTTTAAAATTTAAATCATTGGGTAAATCATGTTTCGACGTATACTGGTTGTTGCAGATGTGGTTGGGCGTGAAATTCTCTTCAACAACTTTGTCACTTCTGTTTGAGGTATAGCGTAGAAGGGTGTGCATTTCTTGAGGAAATTATTATCACCTATGTTGCACGGAAACTCCATATAGGCTGCCGTACCCGTTTCGGACACCTTGGACACGCCGACACGCCACGGACACGCCTGGAGACGTCTCGGAAACTCCACGTGGTGTTTCTGTAATTTTAATTTTTTAAAAAGAGAAAAAAAACTCCAAGGAAACGGCTGGGACACGCGTGTCTCTTTTTGGAAACGGCAGGGACACCTCTTTTTTAAAAAATGGGGTTCTTTTTATAAATTTTAAAAGTTTTGGAACTGACTCAAATTATAAAAAGTATTATCTGGCCCTAAATCTTCATCGCTCCTTTGTGTTACGCGGCTATCATATTTATCGACAATAGACAGCGGCCCTTGAAGAAGCTTTACGCAGCTGGTTGGCCAACTACTCGCCGACAAAGGGCGCGACATCAGGTGAAGTGTTCTCTCCAAATAAGCTTCTCGCCGACAAAGGGAGAAGCTTACGCCGCTGGTCAGTGACTTCTGGATTTTATGTTATGTATTTTGAACTTATTTATGCTTTAATATGTTTTGTAATGACTAAATTATGCTATCTCTTTCGAACTTATACTTTAATATGTTTTGTAATGACTAAATTATGATATGTCTTGTGAACTTATACTTTAATATGTTTTGTAATGACTAAAATATGTTATGTATTGTGAATTTGTTTACATAATTTTATTTATATATATAATTTTTATATATAAATTTGGCGTTTCCCCGGCGTTTCGTCCGTTTCGTTTCGTCTCCGTCCCCGTTTCCGTTTCAGTGCTACATAGATTATCACTATTTTATTAAATTAATAAGGCAAGAGATAGAAAGCTGTCGGATCTTTCCATGCGATTAATGATTATGCAATTTTAATTCTAAATAAGAAAAGGAGAACTGTGAGGTTTTTTCTAGACAAGTAAAAAAGGAAATATGAAATTTATTTTAAGGCAGATACACACTACCTCTGTCTTAGTATATTACTTCTATTTGATTTCTTTGAATCTGAATTAAATAAAAATTGTATTATATGTTATTATACAAAATGATTTAAGTATATTTATCTTGTAGATAATTTTCAAAATTTTATTTCATTATACATTTATATTTCTCCCAAATGCCCTTTTTTGTTTGTCTGGTTCTCGGGGAAAGATAATGGGAAAAAACCATTATACCTCTCATCTATTCTCTCAAGAATCCCTTGCTTTTCTGCTTCTTCTATGATAATCCCCCCTCCCCACCACCCACCCAACCACCCTTTTTCCTTTTCTTGTTCTCCCCCACCTTTCTTCTTCTTCTTCTTCTTCTTCTTCTTTGTCACACACACCCTCTTGCTTACTACTCACTAACTTCTCTTTCAGTTCTTTAGACGGATTGTTTGGGGTTATTGACGACAAGTACAACAGTCATGCAGTTATGGTTGTACAATACAATTTCTGGCAGTAACTTAGTATAATGTAAGTTTAAGAATATCATTTGTAGTGTAGGTTTATGTTTTAAATTAAAAATTTATTTGAAAAAAATAAGGTTCCACTTTCCACTTCTTGAAACAATTAGTGTGGAATTAAAGAAATAAAAATTACATTTTTTAAAATTATATCAGAAGTTTGACGAATATAGAGGTGGCATGACTATATTATTTATTAAATTACTAACAAAATGGGAGATCTCTCTAGATAAGAGTAAAAACTAAGAATATACAAAAATATGAGTTCTCAGTCTTTAAGACCAAAATAAGAGTTCACACTGTCATTCGTCGGTCACTGTCGGCCATCCGAATTCGGCCAGGGATCCGCAACGATTGACTGATCACACCTCCGTATTACACTATTATAGCCATTCTATCAAACATGGCAACATGTACTTTTACACCACACTGTTTTTTATTTTTATTTTGGTATTTTTATACTTTACTTTTATATGTGGATATTTCTTTAACAAAAAAGGGAAAGAATGTATTTGAAGTTTGATTATATGAATAATGAATATGCAATTTAAAATGGGATGGATGTAGCAAGTTTTATTTCTAAATAATAAAAGGAGAACCACGAGGTTCACTCCAAACAAATAAGAAAGAAATATGAAATTTATTATTAGGTAGATATCAACTACCTCTACTCCAATGTATTAATCCGGTTTGATTTTTTCGAGTCAAACTAGAAGAATTTTAATGTTACTTTAGTTTTGACTTTTAGAGTCAAATTGAAAGAATTTTAGATCTTAAATAAATAAAAATTCTATTATATATTAGTATGAAAAGGATTTAATTTTAGTTATTTTGTAATGAACTTTTAAGAATTCATTTTAGTATAACCAATTTAGAAAAGTTCATCTAGTTTGACTAAAAAAAGTCAAACTAGTTGAATACACTAAAACTGATACTACATATTATTTAAAAAAATCTTCAATAAATTTTAAAAAAGTTATAGAAATATTAGAAATATATTCTAAAAGCTTTTTCAAGATGTTCCAGTTGCTTTCTTACAAGAGGGACATGAGTTTATCATGTTTGAAACACATCATAATGCATTGATCTTTGCCTACTTGAATACTTCTTCAATACCTAACCAATTTTTGATATTGCAAATAAAATCGCTTGTTTTGATTTAAGATATTAAACTTAAATTTTATTGAGTATAATTTATTTTAAGAATTGGTGTAAAAATAGAAAATAAAATTTACACGTATAAAATTTGGCCATTTGAATTGTGGAAGATTCAATTTTAACTAAAAATTATTCCCTATTGAAATTTAAATAATTCTTTAAGAGTCTATTTTCTTATTCTATTAGGTTAATTCCAATTGAAAAAATTCTTCCCAAACATATTCAAAAAATTAACTTTTACCTAAATTAGCAAAGTAACTTCTAAGTTGAATTGTTAAAGAAAAATTGATGAATACGTTGAGGCCTAGCCATCTTGAAGCCGCCAGAAGAGGGAAAGTAATGCGTTAGCGCCTCGCTATTTTGGAGTTGTGCACCCTTTTTCTTCTTTTTCTCCCCCACCCTTCTTCTTTGTCACACACACCCTCCTGCTAACTACTCACTAACTTCTTCTCTTCCCGCTCTTTAGTCAGATTGTTTGGGGTTATTGACCACGAGTGGAACATTCATGTAGTTATGGTTGTACGTTACAATTTCCGGCAGTAACTTGGTATAATGTTTTAAATTAAAAATTATTAGAGAAAATAAGGTTCCACTCTCCACTTCTAGGAACAATTAGTATGGAATTAAAAAATAAAAATTATATTTTTTAAGGGTGGGGTTCTGTTGACACTTAAATCCAGTCAACAGATAATACTCGCCAATTTTGGGACACTTCTGGTGCTCCATTTTCAAAATTGATGGTTCTACCCCCCTAACCACCCCCGACCCCAGACCTACCCATGCCCCCGAGCTCCCCTCTAAATGTGTGGCTATTATGCATTGCCTCAAAATTACAGTGGCACTGGAGTGTCACCATACTCCAGTGTCACTAGAACCCCACTGATTTTCTTAAAATCATATCAAAAGTTCTACGAATATAGAGGTCGCATGACTATATTATTTGATTAGATTACTAACAAAACGGGAGAACTCTCTAGATAAGAGTAAAAAAATTATGAATATACAAAAATATGAGTCCTAAGCCTTTATGACCAAAATAAGAGTTCACACTGCCATTTGCCCGGCCGGCCATTAGAATTCCGCCACAGATCTGCTAGGTTGATTGATCACACCTCCATTGAATACTTCTCCAATGCCGAACAAGTTCTTGCTATTGCAAATAGAATTGCTTGTTTTGATATACAATACTTAACTTAAATTTTGTTGAGTATAATTTATTTGAGAATTAGTCTAAGAATAAAAAATAAAATTTACATGTTTAAAAATTGTATCAATACGAAACAAGGGGCGACAACGGAAATAAGAAAAGCTGTAGAATTTGACCATTTGAAATTGGAAAAAATAGCTTAATTTAGAATGAATGGTGGGAGATCCAATTTTAACTAAAAATTGTTCCTTATTGAAATTTAAATAATTTTTTTGAAGAGTCTATTTTCTTTTTCTGTGAGGTTAACTCTAAGTGAAAAATTTCTTCCCAAACATATTCAAAAAATCAACTTCAACCTAAATGAGCAAAGTAACATCTAACTAGAATTGTTAAAGAAAAATTGATGAATAGGTTGGTGCCTGCCATCTTGATGACGCCAAAAGAGAGAAAGAAATGCATTAGCACCTCCCACTTACCTTAGAGCCGTAAGCCTTTCTACATGCTAAGGTCTAATACCTTGCAAAAATTGTAGAAATCGATGAATGTGTTGTTGCCTAGCATTCTTAAGCTTGAAGAGGGAAAGAAATGTGTTAGCTTCTTGATATCTTGCAGTCGGGAGAAATGCCATAACCTCTCGCTATTTGGCAGTCGTGCGGGTTTGCAGCACCCCTTTCGCAGCGCCGTACCTTGTCGATTTTGTAAAATAAAAGAATAGAACTTTGACATAGATGAGCTGCATATGGAGTTCGTGAAAAAAGTTAGCAAAGCACTTGAAGTTGAACAATTTGTTAAATATCCAATACCTATTTTGCCTTTTTCACAAAACAACCTCGAAAGGGACACACTTTGAAGATTTGAAAAGCTCAAAGATGAAAGAGAAAGAAAAAGTGGAGGGAAAAGAAACAAAAACAAAATTAAAGGGAAAAGGCATCGGGTTGAGTGTGTGTACAAGTACAAAAACATGCCTACAATTATTGAATAATGGTTCTTCTGATTGTTTTTTGGGATGGACACCTAGTGCCCTTCCGATTTGATCACAGACATCTTTATCTAATGGATATCAAGAAAGTGATGGGGTCTGTTATCAATTAAAGGATTTGTGTGTACAAGATTTTTGTGAGGTTATTTGGATTTCAAGGCAAGCTTTGCGAATATAGCCACCACCTCTAGTGTTCCCTCACCCCAAACTAATTTTGGCTTTTATGATTTGAAAGAAGCAATTAAATGACCTACAACAAAGACAGCAGTGCCAAAGGAGGATCAACATGAACAAATTCCTTTTATTCTAAGTTTCACCATTGTTCACCTACACGAAAGGCATATAATAATATTCTTGTTGAATTCCGGAATCTTTAAGGCGCTGACCCTCCTTTAGTGCTATTTTCTTTGTGACAAATCATTGAATTGTTTCATTCAAATCATAAAAGCCAAGGTTTAGTTTTTGGTGAGCGCACTAGGTGGTTGCGGCTAAATCAGCATAACTTGTCCCGAAATCAAATAACTCTGCGAAAATCTTACAAGCGCGATTTCTGGAACTGGGAATAGGCATGTCATTTTTTTCATATCCCAATTGATAAAGATCCCTCCAATGAACTTGGAAGGACACTTTGTGTCCATGGTGAGAAGATCCATCGGCCAATTACTATAAGATTGTGCTTGTACTTGTACACAGTTCCTCCCGGTGCGTTTTACCTTCACTTTTGTTTTCATTTCTTTTTCTTTTACTTTTTCTTTTCTTTTCAGATTTTGGCGTTTTGAATGTTCTAGGCGTGACTCCTCTGACTTAGTTTTTAGTGAAAGAAGCAAAATATGTATT